TTTGACTGCATATATCATGAAAGGCTATGGAATACCCTTAAAGACATGGGAGGGCCAATACATCTGATAGTTCTAATGAGGAATCTTTACTCAGGACAAGAGGCTACTGTCAGAAAAGATCATGGAGAAACAGAATGGTTCCCAATTGGCAAAGGAGTCAGACAAGGCTGCATCCTTAACGTATCTGTTCAACCTATATGCAGAACATATTCTAAGGAAAGCAGGCTTGGACATGGAAGAGGGAGGAATGAAAATAGGAGGAAGAAATATCAACAATCTGAGATATGCAGATGACACCATAATACTAGCAGAAAACCTCACAAACCTGGAGCAACTACTATGAAAGATCAAAGATGAAAGTGCAAAGGCAGGCTTAATGTTGAACATAAAGAAAACAAAAATAATGACCACAGAGAACTTACACACATTCAAACTAGACAATGAGGAAATAAAAATAGTAAAAGAGTTCCTATACCTGGCATCAAACATTGATTGGAACAGGGAGTGCAGCCAGGAAATCAGCAGATTAAGAATGGGGAGGGTGGCAATGAAAGAACTAGAAAAGATCCTATATTGCAAAGACTACAACACAAAAGTCAGAATCATATAAGCCATCGTATTCCCTATTACCATGTATGGGTGTGAGAGCTGGACAGTCAAGAAAGAAGATAGGAGAAAAATCAATGAATTTGAGATAATGTGGTGCTGGAGAAGAGTGCTGAGGATCCCATGGACAGCCAAAATGACAAACAAATGGGTCACAGAGCAGATCAAGCCAGAGATATCCCTAGAAGCCAAGATGACAAGACTTAGACTGTTGTACTTTGGACATATCATGAGAAGGCATGAATCGTTGGAAAAGACAATAATGGAAACAGAAAGAGAGGAAGGCCACATGCTAGATGGATGGACTTTATTAAAGAGACCACGAATATGAGTTTGCAGGAGCTGGGCAAAACAGTAGAGGACGGGGCCCCTGGAAATGTCTCGTCCATAGTGTCACCATGGGTTGAGTCTGACGTGAAGGCAGTTAACAACAACAAAATATACAAATCATGTTGTGATTCCATGATGTTGACAGAAGCTGTATTGTTGTATTTTAATACAGAACTATGCATGAAGATATATGACTCTGTGCCTCAGATTCTGGCAAAATAATCTATGCCAAATTGTGATGTCAAAACTCTTATGTTATGTTTGAAAATTGAAATTGGAGGTTGTTGCATGCCTTCAAGTCATTTCCAACTTATGGCTACCTTAACGTGAACCTATCATGGGGTTTTCTTGGCATAATTTGTTCAGAGGGGGTTTGCCATTGCCATCCTCTGAGGTTGAGAAAGTTGAGAAAGTGTGACTTTCCCAGTAGGTTTCATGGCCGAGCCGAGATTCCAACCCTGGTCTCCCAGGTCCAAAACACACTGCAGAAATAATTCAGTTTGAGACCACTTTAACTGCCCTGACTCAATGCTAGGGAATTCTGGGAACTGCAGTATTGTGAGACATTTAGCCTTCTCTGCCAGAGAGCTCTGGTGCCACAGTCAAATACAATTCCCAGAATTCCCTAGCACTGAGCCAGGGTAGTTAAAGTGGTCTCAAATTGGATTATTTCTGCAGTGTGTTTTGGACCCCAGTATCCTAGCCCAGTGCTCAAACTACTACACCCTGCTGGCTCTCATTGTACTATTTCTGTATGCTTTTAATTGTACTTTTTTTAAATATTGTAAGCCATCCTGAGTCCCAGTCTTGGGAGAAGGGTGGGATATTATTATTATTATTATATTATTAATTTAAAATGCCCTTGACCACTCATATAGCAAATCCTATTGTCTTTCTCTGTATGGGTGACACTCTCTGGCCCATTTATTTTTCTTCTCAGCCTCATGATCACACTGTCCCAATTTTTTTTCCTCTCGGACTCATTATTTCTGTCATGTGCCAGGATTTAAAACAACAACAATAATTTACATTATTATTATTGTTATCATCATCATTATCATCCTGGTTGAATTGCATGTTTTAGTCTGGCTGTGAGGTAAAAGTGTCTCATTTGTTATGAGGGAATAAGCCAAAACAAAAACCCCACGTTTTAAAAGCAGAATTTCCTCCGGATTTTAACTAAACACTGGCTAAGAGTTGGTATATGAACATTTTG